GCAGCCGCCGGTCCCGCTCCTGCAGTCGGAAGAGGCAGAAGTGCCGCCGCAGCTCCTCTGACTCTGCCAGATCGCTCAGCATCTCCTGGGGGAAGCGGCGGGGGAAGCACGGCCCCATCTGCTCCACCACGGCCCCTTCCAGCCAGGAGGGCCCCTGCGCCAGCAGCCGGTCCCCCAGGTACAGCCTGCCACAGCCGCACGTCAGGGCCGCCTCAGCCCCGCGGCCACCGGCCCCGCTGCAACCGGGACGGGCCGCTGCAGGGCCACAGAGCCCCGGGGCCCCGCAGCCCTTCCCTCCCCAGGGCACAGCAGGGGCGGCGCACTCACCGATAGAAGTGCTCGAAGGTGTGGGCGAACTCCAGGCCACCGAAGATTACGAAGGGCTCCAGGATCTGCTGCAGCTGCGCTGTGCTGCCCGCGGCCCCGTGCAGCTCCTGCACCTTCCCGTCCAGGTAGCGGGCGAACTGCTCGCTCACCTGCGGAGGGACGGGGATGGCTGCGTGGGCACGGGGCGGCTGCAGCGGGGACAGGGCACGGGCAGGAGCCCTGGGGCACTAAGAAGGGGACACGGGTGAGCCAGTCCAGGCAGGGAGCACACCACACCGAGCACGGGCACCTGCGAGGGCCCTGGACTCACGTGCAAGGCGGTCAGGAAGGAGAGCTGCAGCAGAGCCCCGGCAAAGCCCTGGCCCAGGGCTGCCACGAAGGCGGCCTGCTGCCCGAAGAGCTCCTCTGTGGCACCACGCAGGCGCTGGTACAGCGCGCAGTACCGCTCCACGACATCCGGTGCCTGCCCTGACATCTCCAGGAACCGCTGCACCTGCGGGGACGGCCGAGGGCTGAGCTGCAGCGGGACCGACACAGGCCCAGCCAGCACCCACCGCCCCGCACCCTACCTGCTGCTGCACCACGCCACGCCAGCATCGCACCATGTCCCACAGGCCGCCAGACTTCACTGCCACCGCCACCCGGGCTGGCGTCTCCTTGTTCCTGCCCTCCTTCCCGCCTGCCAAGGCACGGCCGAGGCTCAGCCCCACACGCTGCCCCTTGCCTGCCCCGCAGAAGGCAGCCCCGCGCTCACCGGCCGCTCCCGCCTCCTCCGCCTCCGCGCCGCCCGGGTCCACGTGCACCAGGAGCTGGGTCAGGCGCCGCACACAGGAACCGAAGGTGTCACCGCGGGACTGCTCTGCGCTCCCCAGGTACTCGCCCAGCAGCCAGGCCAGAGGGCTGATGCCGCTGGGGTCTGCCGGGACGCAGAGACTCAGGGGGGGCCTCGGGCACTGCGGGGAGGGCCCGGGATGACGGCGGTACCTGGGCTGGTGATGCTCTGCACCACGGGGGTCACCAGGGCCTCCCAGCACGTCCTGCCCAGGGCTCG